GGTTTATTTTGAGATAATTTAATTAAATATTTCAATCCATTTGTGTTATTCATAATTCAAGAAAAGATATTTGATTGTTGGTCAGGAGTAAAAAAAAAAAACACCATTTCATTTTTCAAAAAAAGTGAAGTCAGAGTTTTCAGGTATTGTGATGAATTATTTCATTATGTTGTGGTTTTTCCTCTTAAACCTTCTACAAATAAGAAACAGTAACACTTTATTTTTCTTAAAATTACCTACCATAACCAAGGCACATTATTGAGAAATTTTTCAAGATCTTGTTTTTGTCATCTTACGCCTTTTATTGAAGATGGGAACATTGACAGGGAAATAGATTTGAATGAAGAAGTTTCATAAATAGCGTGAACGGTAGTGTGATGTAAAATTACTCATGCTAGAAATTTTCATAAAAGTGACCCAAAAAACGGTGTTAACGCGGTAACCAGTAGCCCGATTTTAATGAAACTTGTTTTATTCTGTTTCTATTCTTATTTCATTACAAATATGGTACTATTGTGCATTGATTTTGCTGTATTTAATTACAGACAAACAAACAAACAATCTCAGAGGTTTAGTAGTATATAGATAGATATATATTTTGTGAGAGTTTCAAAAAACTGAAGGTAATAGAGTATGCAACAAACTGTAGTTTCTATTATTATTATAAGATTAGTGTATGCCAGTAAATGTTTCTTCTGTTTTCATCTTTTAGGTGAAAATCAGAATTGAGCAAATTGACAACAACCATGGCAACATCTTTGTTGTACCAAGCCCTACGCTCTTTCGTACACTTAAAATCATTTGGAAATCTTCAAACAATACAATGTGCCCAGCAGTTTTGGTCTTCTGAGCCAAATTTTTTGTCACATTATATCAGTGTCAGGTTTCGTTATAGAAAGATTCGGGGAGGCGGTAGACCTCTTCCCTGGTATGTTCCAACACCAACTCCAAGAATCTATGGATGGAAAGCTATTTTACCAAATGATGAAAAATATACAACCAAGCCATTACCAGTTGTCAAGCTAGGGGGCCGAGTACCAGAGACAGGTAATATGGTTAGGGCTCCTTTGTTATAAAGTTGTAGAGCTGTTTATCAAATGAAATAATGTATTGATTAGTGCCTTTATTCAAGTTTTTACATCACAATATTATGGGTGAAAAGGGTAGAATTGGTGTAGGATGATGGGTGGTGTGGTCTTTATCCAGGGGGTAAAAATCAAAAGTAGTACTTTCTTTTGGGGCATCACATACTTTTATGAGGATTGATCAGGAACTAAAGTGAACAAACTTTTAAGGAAATCAAAGTTTCTCTTCTTATGATGTTGTGCTGTACAATGTGTATCACACTTACAATGAGCTACCCAAACAAACAAAAAACTGCATGTGTAATGCATTCTGAAGCATTTGAGGAAAGGGAAGAAAAAATAAGTTTATTACAAACAAATTTACTGTAGGTCCATAAAATAAAATTAATTACTTGAAGTTATTACTGTGCTCTCATATTACAGAATCAAACAACAATTGCTTCTACAGCTTTCATGTTGGTGATTTTCTTTTGCATTAGGGAGTTTCTTCCTGTGCTCCTCGAACATTAAAAGAAGGTACTGTTCGTAGTCCTCATCTTTAGTGTAAAGCCAGCTGTCTTCTTCCACTAGGGCCAAACTATGTTCCACAGTGTCACTGACAGCCCAGAGTTGCTTGCATGTTTTTTTTTTTTTGCCCATCAAGAAATCTTTGTCTTGCTGTTTCAATTGGCATGGATCTTTGGAGAGGAAGGAGTCTAAGTTGATGCCCATGATTTAAAAAACTGGAGGCTGTTTGTCATGATGAAGTTCTTCAGGGCTTCATCCTTTGTCTCCAAGTCCTTCACCTTGACTCAGTTCTGCTGATCCTCGTTCCCATGGTTCTTGAGAGCTTGGACCATACTGCACTTAGTCTCCATAGACACATTGTCAAAGAAGGCAAGAGGGACAAGCTTCTCAGCCAAATGCCAGAGGTGGTAAATGAACTTTTTCTGTGCGGTGTTGTTGGCCACCTGTGGATCCGAGGTCTTGTAAGCTTGAAGAGCCTGGAGAAGCTGCAGGTTGTTCCTTGGAGCAAACAATGGGATGGAAGCTAGGTTCTGTGCTTTGATGTAAATGGTGGACACAAATATGCAAATTCTTTAGCCACCTTCTTTCTAACCATGAAGTTAAACTGGCCTTAGAACATGAAGACTTTGAGACTGTATGTCAGGTTTTATGTATGTATGGGTTGGATTCTTTACAGTAGGTGTATGTGTCTTGTTGGTGATAAATTTCAACAATAAAAAAAAACAGCACACAGGCCACTTGTTTTAAAATAATGTATTAAAACAAGTCAAACGTATATACAAATGTTTGTTACACTATTGGTTATCACAGTTGTATCCAGAACTTTAAATAATTGTTTCTTTTTCATCAAAGTCCACACAGGCTGGTTCAGTTACTTTGGAACACAATTGAGGAGACAAATTATTCTTCTCTACTTTGTTATTACAATACAACCTCTTATAATTTCACTTCAGAAATTGCCAATATATACCCTTTATGGCTATACTCACAGTCACTCAGTCTAGATCTACGTATCTATCTAACTAACTCGAACTATGGTTTGTGTGCATATTTATAGCCTGATCAAGGCTTAGAACATTCTACACACTATGAGATATTATTATTATTATGCAATAAGACTTAATCAAAGCAACAAGAAAAACTTAGAAAGTTCTAGTAACATGATGCAATAAATACAACAATCACCAATTCACAATAATTGAACTACACAACACATGATTTTTACACAGTTATGTAAACAAACCTGTGATAAACTACCACTTCAAGAAAAAACTAGATTTAATACTCATGCTATACTTGAATAATCTAAATCATAACACTTGCACTAACTTAAACAGTCGTGTATATCTAACAATAAGCCCCTCTTCAAGAAAAATATTTACAATATTTTTTTACACTATATACAAAGATTGTTCTCAGTTGAAGCATAAAGTCTACTCATACAGCCTGCACCAACATTTGCAGTTCCCTAGATGGCCTCAATGCAGAACTGGTAGTTCTGCAGGTACAATGACTACTTCATGATCCCTGCACTTTGTATTTTACAGCCCTGGATGTATGGAAGGGGCTGATGGTCAGCCTGGATAATGAACTCCTTCTAGAATTTTCAGGTTGCAAATATGATGGCCAGATGCTCTTGTTCAATCACGGAGTAGTTATTCTCACTACTCAACAGCTTTTTACTGATGTACATTACTGGAAACAGTCTGTCTACATGTTCTTGCAGAAATACTGCTCCAATTCCAGTGTCTGAAAATTGGTCCTTAGTAGTTTTTCACTAATCCTCACCAATCCCTGGGGTGCTCCACTAAAAACTTGGAAGTTGGAAAATAAGGACCACCCTAATGATAGAATTAAATTTCAGGTAATGAAACAACCACTGACTTATTTTGCTCTGTCCAAATGGATAAGGAGATGACTTTCTGTTCCACTTTTCACCGCAAAGTATTTTCATTCCTTCTAGGTCGAGTAGCTGTTCGGACACTAGGTGGAGGACATAAAAAGTTGTATAGATGGGTGGATAATAAGAGACATGGACCAACAGCAGGACATCCAGTAGAAGAAAGAGTATTTCATGTACGATATGATCCTTGTCGAACTGCTAAGATAGCCCTTGTTGCATCAGGATCCAAAAAACGGTGGATCTTAGCAACAGATGGTGTGAAAGCTGGCGATATATTACGAACAACAGGCCACATTCCTCGCATATCAGGTTTGTCTGTAACTATACTATACTAAGGTGTGAAGGTTGAAGAAAAGATACATGCCTTATAAAGTAAGTTCATTGAGTGTTGACAAAAACATTTTCTTCATATAGATCAATATTTTCTGTAGCCAGTCAGTTAAACACATTTGGTGAACCTGAAGTTTTGTGACAGTTGAAATGTGGACAGATTATTAATTTTGACAAGTACATATACATTGCTACTTTCCAAAAGAAAAATATCTTAAAATATCTTGATCAACCTCTTAAAAATAATTTCTTAGATCCTCATGAGAGAAACCTGGATATGAAAGAACTTATTTCTTGTTTGTTTGTTTTTATTACTATAGCAAGTAGTGATATTTGTAAATATATTGTATGTGTTGAAGTGTGGAAGGTTATTTGGGTCACATGGGTGTACATGAATGTATTATATATAATTGACAAAATTCTTTTTGAAATTAGAAGTTGACTTACTACCAGTGCTTTTGAAAATATTCTACTCTCAAAGTATGTTTTTTTGAAATATTTAAATGTGGATTACTGAATTTGAGCCCAAAAATTAATGCATAATATGTATTTATGAGGTAATAACTAAATCAATAATTTGAAGAGGTAAAGTTTTTTTTATGTGTTCGAATCTTTGGTTTTTCCCTATAGTTCGACCTAAAGAAGGAGATGCTCATCCTCTAGGAGCTCTTCCAATTGGAACTCTAATTCACAGTATTGAAGTTGTTCCTGGAAAAGGAGGATTGTTCTGTCGAGCTGCGGGATCCTGTGCCCAACTTCTGCGGAAGGTTGATAAATGTTGTATTGTTCAGTTACCTTCTAAGCAAGAAATCTCGTTACCTGAAGAATGTATGGCTGTAGTGGGAAGAGTTTCAAATATAGACCACAATAAGAAACCAATAGGAAGTGCAAACAGAAATCGTTGGCTTGGAAGACGACCACGGTCTGGCTGGTGGCATAGAAAAGATGGCTACTGTGGTCGTAAAATTAAACCACTACCACCAGTTAAAGAATTTGGTTATGTTCCTGAACCTAAACCAGAAGTTTACAAATTAACTTTTTAATAGCTAAATTAAACCTCATTCAGTGTGCTATGTAGAGCAAGAACTTTTTATGTTCATTAGCAAAGACATTTGTAAAATAAAGATGTAACATTAGCCAAGATATGGATATATAATGTTATGTTTGAAAATATACAAAAAATAAGCATTTCAAGAATGGAACAGGAAGTGGAAATATTGTTCAATAAATAAGTAAGAATTCAAAATTGGTACACAGTTATTGTCAGTAAATATTTAAGTAATTCTAGTTTTTTGAAACTGAAAATAAGGTTACGAGTATAACAATTGGAAACATACTCCTGTCAGCAGATGTGGCCAATGGGGGAAGGAGTGTAGAATGATAAGCAACTACCTTACCAAGGTAATTTAAATTAACCCAGCTATTTTACAAGCAGATACCAGTGTTTCTAACCTTGAAGGTTTAGTAATTTCTGTTCATAATTCGAATCTGCCATTTGATAAAAATTAAAAGGTGATTTGAATAAACAAGTAAAATCATGGCTAATTTCACAAATAATTCCAGAATTATATTTGTACACTCCACAAAAAAATTATGTTATAATACTGCAATTAAGAATAGTTAATACAGATTTTGTGAGTTATGACTTCATTGTTCAGAAATAACATTGAGATAGAGCATACAGTAATATCTGACAAAATTCTGAAGTTGTTCTAACATGTAAAGTGACCATATTTCTGAATTAAAACTATTTTGTTTGTTTTTAATTTTAGATGAACATGTTTAATTATTTTACTTTATAAAGACAGAGTCTATAATTATCTCAGATAGTTAAACTGCCAGATATTCCTTTACCTGCACTGAGTCAAACTTTTTCACTTGGTTTAGTGTGAATTCTAAAGTAACTGTACATTCTTTCTCTCAGTGAAAAACCACATGCTTATGAATATTTTATCTTTGAAACAAACTGCATATATATATGTACATTAAGAAAACGGAACATGCTGTGCTTATTTCTCATTATGGTCTAAGCTAGATGCCCCCCAACCTTTATGTAGTATAACATGTCTCAATGTTTCAAATTATGTATTAACCTGAAACATTTTTGTGTACCACTTTGTGTACGTAATTAAATACATACCAACTGATTCAAATATATAATGGAAAACACGGACAGAAATAAGAAGAAATGGCCTATTTCTGCCATGAATATCAATTCAAATTACATTTCTTGTTGGCATCTGAAAAATACATATAGTACATTACTTCACTGTTTATCAACTTGGTTTGTTTTCCACAACAACCGATGTCAGTATTAGTTGCTCTGTGCAAGTGAAAAAAACACTTGGCATTGGCCAAGATGTATTACAACCTTTTCATTCTTGTAAGTATGGACAATACAACCTGGTAATAGAGATATACAGTTCAAACATTACACAATTAAAACTCGCTAACATTGATATGCAGTACATATTTTAAATATTATAAATCAAAATACCCTTTAATAAAGAACACAAGCACACACTAAAAAAAAAGCTAAAGAAAGTACAAAAAATCCATCAAAAAGTTTCAGACATTGGCCAAAAATATACTGTTTAACATTGCTGATAGCTTATTTTTCATACACCATAATACAATATTTACAATACCCAGTTCAATTCAACATACTACATGAAATAAATCCACTAAGAAAAAATTATATATAGAAATTGAAATAAACTGAAAAAAGTGAATTTTTTTCAAACAGTTTTATAAGCATAAATATAATGACATCTCCAGAATATCTCTTTCTTGGTTCAATATTTCACTATTACAGGAGCTATGGACATAATTTCACTAATCCAGTTGAGTCTAACCATAATACAGAAATAGACCCTTTAAAAACATCAGAGCATGAGAACAACTTGTCATACTAAACAGATCCCTCCAAAATTAAACCCAATCTTATTGAAAGAAAAAGAAAACAAGATGCACAGTAATGATCTTTTAGAGACTTTTATACATATAATAAAGAATTTAAATTACTTTAGGATACCTGCATGGAGACTATATTCTATATAGAATTCTCAACATTCAGCAACATCGGGTGATTCTCTTGAAACATTTAATGAAGTTTTTCCTCAGAAAATTTACTCAGTAGCTTGAAAAGCAGTGATTATGACACCTATTCATTTATTTTATTTCAATCACATGACCTCTTAGCTTATGTAGTTTTATGTTATACTGTAAAATTCTGATAACTTGGAAAGCAAGGGTTGCAAAGCTCTTTCAGCTTAGTTTTCAAACTCCTAGCTACCATCTGAAGTCACACAAACTCATTATAGGCACAGTGTTTACTAACACCAGCCATCCTAATGATGATTGAGTAGCAATCAACTGATATTCAGTGGATATTTCCTATAGTGAAACTGCTTGATAGCTCAGAAAATAATGGTTGCTTAACTCTTTCACTCATATTCATCTTGTGATCAATAAACCTTCTTTACTTAAATTAATGAGTTCCAGTAATATTTAGTAGGAGGCTGACAGCAGTCTTTCATTCCTAACTTCAGTGTTTCCTCATCTGACTTATAATGGATAGCCAGATAAATACTTTCAGCTTTCTTCATTGGATGATTAACATGAGATAACACCCTCTTTGGTCTCAATCTCTAACTCTTAGTTGAGTTGGTGTACTGTGACATACAAATACAGCTTATTGATGTGCTCCACACATTTTCGCGTGCCTCGTGTACACTGTAACATGTAAATCAATGGATTGATTTGACAGAGAGTGGGGTACAATCCTGTTAAGCTAGATCTGAGTTGCTTTCATGCTGTCAGCATCTACCAAAAAAAGAACAGTCTGTTCCTTTACCATCTTCTCATAGCAAATCTGACGTTTGGTATACTTTCATAGCTGTAGACATGCAAACTGATGTAAATCAACTAAAGCAGACCTTAACCTCTTCACGTAGTCTTGTGGACATTATAGATCATTGATTTCAGAGTAAAACCATACATCATATTGACAGGAAGCAGAATTTCTCTCCCAAAAATGAGCATGTTTCGCAAACAACCTGTACACTTCTGTTCATTTATCCATACACCATCATGACATTCAGAAAGTGTTCATCTTAGTTTGTTTACCTGGGATTAGCAAATTTGTCAAGCATTTGCTTGGTAGTTTGTATTACCCATTCTGCTAAACCATCAAACTGGCAGAAATAAGACAAAGTCCACATCCTCACCACACCAAACATTACACAATTTGGAGAAACATTGACAGCTAAAATTACCTGATCCATGAAGTACTCTTCCAGTTCTCCAAACCATGCTATCCAGTGTGTCACCAACATATCAACCACAGAGTGTGCCAAAGCATAGACCAATTTATAAGTTTTGTTCCATTTTGTGAAGTTATCAATAGTGACGAGTATGTACCAATGATCTTCTTCAGTTTCTGGGGGTGTACCAGTGATATTCAGGGCTAACCTCTTTTCAGGAAACCCAACAATTACTTGCTGGAGTTTACCCTATCTCAGTTTGTTCTTTCACTTCGTGGGACACATCATATATTTTTCACACTAGCACCAACCATCTTAACTTGAATGTGGCCAGTAGAAGTTTCATCAGATATCAGTACAACCATAACACCTTAGTGTAATGCCCTTCAATCTTTATGTTATGTAACATCTGGAGAATTTCTTGCCTTAAAGCTCCAAACCACTAGTTGCAGCACAGGCTGAAAACCACAGTTTAGTCATTAATAACAGTGGTGCAACACATCTTCCTGCACTCCACAACTTACATGCTACATTTCTTAATTTGTGGTTGCTGAGCCTTACTTGTTGCACAACAAGGAGTATTCGTGCTAAATTTGAATCATTCAATTGATCTTCCTAGAGCTGCTGAAGTGTTCCATTAGTGAAATTTCCTACTGCATGGCTAGATGTGTTATGACAGAAATGGGTTCAACTTCCATGTAGTGTTCGGTAGTAGGACATTCAATGAACAGACAGGTCTATGTTTCTGTGTTGTGTTGCCAAGGTGATGCATTATAGCAAAGCAATGCAATGTTGTTATCCAGTGTGTTATCACCTGTTCTAGGTTTTAAAGTTCATTAACTTTTTCAGCAGATTATGCCCAACCCGGACAGTGAACCTGTTAACCATACAAGGAGTGCCAATAGTCTTTTATGAAGGCTATAACTTCAAGCAGTTCATTCTTTACTTGAACAGTATTCGCATTACATGTTCTCTATCCTGCAACTATGATAATTGCCCTGATTTCACTATCACTGGTGTCAGTTTCCAGTAAGAACTCTCTGTCTTATTATAGGTATGCCAGCACTGGATCCTCCAACAAAGCAAACTTTAGGACTGGAATTTTTGTTCACATTTCTCATTTCATCTGAAGTGCATCTCATTTTTAGTGAGAACGGACAATGGTGCTGCTATCTTGAAAATGTTGGCCACGTAGCATCAGTAATACAATATAAAATCAAGGAAACCTTAGACTTCTTAGTTGGTCACAGATTAAGGCCAATCTCTCACTGCTACTAACTTAGCACACTGTAGACGAACTGTTTAAATATGAATAAGAAATTCCACTTTTGTGCATGAGTGCACAAATTATCTGGTTTCAGTTTCAAGCCTGCTTTCTTTATCCTCTGTAAAAACTATTCTCAGTTTGTAGCTGCAGATTTGAACATGTGACCAAACACCAAAATATTGTGGATGTAGACCAGGTATTTCTCCTCTTGCAGCCCTTTCAGTGTAAGCTATATTAACTTCTCGAAAGCTGAATTACTCAGGTTGAATGGCATGATGTAAACTTCATACATACCATTTCTCATGCTAAAAGCAGCCTAAGCCTGCTTTCATCATCGAGTTCGACATGTTATCATCTGGATGTCGATTCAAACAAAAACCTTCGGATGTGTCCATACACCATCTGTTTGTGGCAAGGGGAAAATGTCTGTGAGAGTTACCATGTTAAACTGTCTTAGTGCTCTTTTCTTCTTTCTGACAGTTACTACTAAAAATGACCAAGTATTCTCTGAAGGTTGTATGATTCTAGTATTCAACATCTGCTTTATCTCTACACTGGCCGCATCTCTGGTGCTGCGGTAAAATTAACTGTGTAGTAGTTGTTTAATTGGATTTGTGTTACATGCATTTTTATGATGGTGAGTGCTGTTGTTTGATGCAATTAGTCATCTAGTCCTTCAAGTACATTGGCATAGTCCAGATGTTTCCAGATTGTTTGCATAATTTTCAACTAAAGATCTGAGATGTGTTGGTAACTGCATACTTGGTTTTGGATGCAATGCGATGGATGCAGACCTAGTGTCACCACTAACCTTGGTTACTTCCACTTCACTTACCTCACCAATGACCATTTCAGCATAAAGCTGGATAGTCAATCATCCGTAATTATAAGAAATACTGGGACTCCATCTTTTCTCAGACAAATAACCACCTGAGTAATTATTCTTCTTTTCTGGACATGAAACAGTTTATTTTATCTGTGAGCTCTATAACTAAGTTACACAGCACTGATGCACTAGACTATTTATAGCGAACCATTCAAACCACTTGTGTATACAAAGGGGCTGTTATTCTCTCTGCTACATACATTCATGCAGTCCATGGCTTGATCTAGCCAACATTGTATAACTTCCATGGAGCATCAGTTCACAGG